GGGGGGGGGGGGGGGGGGTTTAACTAACCAGTCGGCGTGGGTTGGTTTGACTTGGTTAACCACAAGCCCCCCCCACAAGCCCCCCCCCCCCCCCCCCCGGGGTCGTTAAAGCTCTGGCTGAGCGGAAGCTATCGTTGTGGGTTCCTTCATGTGGGCAGTTGGCCTCCCGTCAATTAACTAACTACTCAGGGAGAATAAATGTTGATCAGTTCTGATCAGTTTTCCTGATAGTTAGTCAACTAGCTGTCTTACACTGCGGGTGTTCACCCGCAGCATCAAGAATGGCTCTTTTTATATATTAAGATGTGATAACATACGGCTGCTGCTATTTATCATCATCACGCCTCTTCTGGCGGGTGCCAGTTCTTTCGTCAGACAACGATAATTGGACGGGAACCGCATCTGATTTGCAGCTCTCCTTTTGATGTGATTTTTTTTTCTTTTTTCTTTTTTTGTTTTAGGAATTCGAATCCGATATAGGCGTCGGAGCTTATATTCATCGTGCGAATGGCCCAGATCAAATTCGGTCCATTCTCTGGAAGCCCACAGGGTAACTAACGTTTTCTAATTCCCTAACACTGTGGCACTGTGGCTATTCTCATTATCTTGCTAATACCAATGGGATTCAGCTCGGGCAGATGGCGCCTGTCTGTAAAGATTTGTGGTGGAGAGGAGTTGGGATCATTAGTGCTTGGCTGGGGGTCCGATCTTATTCTATCCCAGCCTCCCCCTATTTTATCCCATCGTATCCTCTTATCGTTATTACCGGTCTCTTGGACTGATTCTCACCAATCCTGGAGAGATACGTTGGGCTAATCATTCCGACGATGCCAGCCGGGTTGCACTGCTAGTGCTGGTGCCGGTGCCAAATACGCTGCCCGCGGTCTGCGAGACTCCTCTAGCCTTTGGTCTGCGGAAATGCAAGCAAGCCCCGCTACGCCCCCGCAGCGCTCCATGCGGATCAATCAGCCCATCCACAACTTGTCCTGTCTGTAGCCCCTCATGACGCCGTTGGCCGATATCCTGGTGGATTCTCGAGGACCTTGTTTCCTTTCTTTTTTCGCTTTTATCAATTCGTCTATCTTTCTCCGCAGTCCACATAAAATATATCCACTGCTGGGAAGATATATCTTTCAGTTAATCCTCGGCACAGTTACGCTTGTTCAATCCATTACTCCCCTTCTATTTGCAACAACAAGGTACCAGCATCGATCGAGCTATCTTCCCCAGTGGCAATATCGTGCGGGGAAGAGACGTACCCGTTACAACACCCCAATAGCATCTCTTCTCGTCTCAAATGCCGCTTCCACGGTGGAATTTTATAGGACTCCATTGTATAGCTATATTTGCCTTTCCAAATCATATCTTATCCTGAGACCGGAAGGGTTCGTTTCTCACTCTTTAATTTTTTGTTGCGAACAGATGCCTACGTCTTGCTCCTGAACGTGCTGGCGGTGATCGCCATATATCCTGCCAAAAATATATCCGGCATTGATGCGTTCTTCTCAAGCTGCAGCGCAGCGACGACGACGGGGTTGAATACGTACGCATATCTTCCCTCTCTCTTGCTTCCTTTCTTTCATTTTCACTTTTTATTTTATTTTATTTTATTTTATTTTATTTTATTTATTTTGCTATGTTGATTTCTTTTTCTACTTTTGTCATATTTTGCAACTGACATTTCTCCGAGAGGAAATCACCCAAACCAGCATTGATATTAATACAATGCGCACATATCAGCAAGTGGTGATATATATCATACCCCTACTTGGCAACCTAAGCATCATCAACCTAGTCGTGGTGCTCGTCCGCCTTTACTGGTTTGAGACACGATTCAAAGATATTGGTAAAAGCTTTCCAATCTTCAATAGGGAGCTTCTGTTGGTTCATCCATATATGTAAAGGAGGGTGAGAATTGACCGTGAAAATCATTCTAAACTTCTAGTCCGGTTGTCGCGCCAGTGTTCATTCGATCGACGTCATTCTGTCGAATCATCCGATGAAAGGGGAAGAGATACGACTACTCTCCGAGAGAAACTCGCCACAGGGAAAATACGGCATATCAGAATGTCACGGTTTCGTTCGGGGATTAGCAGCAGAAGTAAGACATCTCCCTCTGAAGCTGAGGGAATGAGGCTGCGTGCTACGGTTGCTAATGTAAACAATCCTAACTCCAACAACATTATCGATCTCAACAGCGACAGGAATGATAATACAAATATTATTCAAAATAAAAATGATGATGATGGAATCACCCTTAATGGGAACATGAATGAAAAAGAGGAAAATGCTACAAAGGAAATGGGCGGTTCAATTACTTCCACTACCATTCCAGTCCCAGTTTCCCCTTCTGCTCCTCCATCGAATACACAGCCTGTAATGATTGATCAAAATAATTCTTCGCTGGACAACAACAAGACAGAGCGGAGCGTGCCGCCAACGCATATTAGTTTCTCAGTTGAGACGAACTTGGAGCGTCGGGAACGGGCACTACGGATTCCAGGTCCTAGAGAATTTGAGAGTGGTGGGTATAACCCTCCCCATTTTGATCGGCGTTTCGCAATGGGAGAGAATACATATTAAAGTCGAAAGTGCTGATTTACTACCAAACAGGGCAAACCGTTCGCGAGGTTGATGATGGTAAGATACCAAATTTTGCGCCTATCACTCCACTAGTTATATATCCTTTCCATGGATTTTCAATCCAACAACCCCTGAACGGCTTCGGAAAGAGAAAAGCAGCTAAACAAAAGCAAAATAAACCAACACACAGACGACCTGATCAAAGTCGTGAGCACCGAGGAGCCGCCATCATCAGGCCCTTCCGGGGATCACGATCGTCGCCGCCTTCCCACCATGGAACGGATTTTTTCTCGTGCCGTCTCCATGGAATACGCTGCCTCAAATGCCTTTATTCTCGGGAAAGCGTCCCACAAACGCTCTCGATCTAGGTCTTCTAACCCGGGAAGCCGGTCATCGTCAAAGGCTAGACAGTCCCACAATATGCCGTATCTATCTTATCAGCCGACCATAGGACGTAATTCGAGGTTTTTGGATTTGACCGATGAGCAAAGGGATGAGTTGGGGGGGATTGAGTACCGTAGTTTGAGACTGTTGGCTAAAATTGTGTTTGGTATGGGATTTCGGGATTTCATGTTTTTCCCACTTAACTTTTGTCAGTAGAAGCTGGTTAACTAACGTTTGTATGCCATATTTACCTATAATAGGTTACTACGTGTTCTGGCATGTATTCGGTGCCATCTGTCTGATTGGCTGGATTCACAATTCAGACCACAAGTATAGGGACTATCTTCGATCAGTTGGCCAGAGTCCAACCTGGTGGTTAGCAGAATTCTTTTGAGATCCTACGCCCCTAACGAAGTTAAGACTCTTACATCCACTCAGGGCGATATACAGCGGAATGACAACCTTCAACAATCTCGGATACACCCTTACTCCTGACTCCATGATCAGTTTCCGTGCAGCTACCTTCCCCATCTTCCTTATGACATTTCTAATCTACATTGGCAACACGGCCTACCCCTGCATGCTCCGCCTGATCATCTGGCTCCTGTTCAAGCTGTCCCCGCGAAACTCCAGGATCCGCGAGCCCCTTAATTTTCTCCTCGACCATCCCCGGCGTTGCTTCACCCTCCTTTTCCCCTCCAGCCCCACCTGGATGTTGTTTTTCAGCCTTGTATTTTTAAACTTTATTGACGTTCTACTGTTTCTCGTACTAGACTTGCATAATGAGGAGGTCCTGGGCGTTCCGTCGATGTGGAATCGGTTTCTGGCCGCTCTGTTTCAAGCGGCGTCGGCGCGGACGACGGGGACGAACACATTTAGTATCTCTAAGGTTCATCCCGCTGTGCAATTTATGCTCATGGGTATGACTTTTCTACCGAAAGAGAGACGAAAAGAAAACATGCTATTATTATTGTTTAAATTTTCTGGCTAACAAGCTTGATTTCTAGTGATGATGTATATTTCCGCTTACCCAATTGCCATCAGCGTGAGAAGGTAAGAAAGATCAGTTTCCTTCCTTTCTTATCGAATCCATTTTCATGACTCTTTCTCCCACTCATCAAATAACTAACTTCTTTTCTTAGAACAAACATCTACGAAGAGACCTCCCTTGGCCTCTACGATTCCACAAGCGAAGAAATTGACGAGTCGAATACCACAGCCTCGTATTTGGGCACACATCTGAAAAAGCAGCTCGCGTTCGATCTGTGGTATGTCTTTTTGGGAATGTTCATTCTCATGGTCACGGAGGGGCCAAAACTAGCAGATAAAGCAGATCCGGCAAGTTCTTGAGTTCCCCCTTTTTATCGACCATCCCTCTCAACCCGATATTGTTGAGCAAGTTTTAACATAGCCTGCAAAACAAATGTAGGAATTTGTAATCTTTTCCGTATTTTTTGAAGCAGTGTCCGCATAGTAAGCGGTCGATCCCCTTCCCCTCCCACATTTTCTATGAATCTAACCAAAGACTTCCATCAACAGCGGAAACGTGGGCCTCAGCCTCGGTCATACGGCTATCAACAGCGGTCTAACTACCAGGTTCACCGTGTTGGGTAAATTAGTAATATGTGCCCTGATGATTCGCGGTCGACACCGTGGATTGCCATATGAGCTTGATCGTGCTGTTAGTTGAACATTTCCCCTATCTTTCGCACCCCTTTCCATTCACTTACGTACTTTGCTTATCTACTCGTTCCCCCTTTTCGTTGTTGTTTTGTGTTTTCCCTTTCTAGTTTTGCTCCAGACACTAATATCTCCACTCTTCCCTCTACTTTTAAATACTTTACAGATTATCCTCCCCAGCGAAAGGAACCCCACAGAATCAAGCTCCCCAAGGCAGGTCGCCGTCTCTACCGCACTAAAGTCGGCAGATACGACTATTGCCGTCTCGTCGCGGTCGCGGACTACGTAGAATGTATAATACGGGAATGGAGTGGGTAGATGTGATTCGATAAAAAGGTATAGAATTCTGCAAATATTCCATTGTTGAGCAGGGGGTTGATTGTTGGAATATATGTGATGGAAAAATGTGTGAGATATAAAGTGGGAAGGTTGGGTCCAGTTTTACTGACAACTTTAAAAAACTCCGTTTCATTGTCATTAATTCGAGTCTTCATTGTATTGTGCCTTAACATAACTCTATATTGGATGTGTGGATAAGGGGTTCTCCCCTGAGATTTGAGCTTTCATGCAAGCATCACCATATCCGTGCCAGTTTACTCCAGGATGTTGGAGTTTAAAATAAGTGAAGCCCGCCAAGTCAAGTTATGGGCATTATATCAGCAAAGATACTGAAGCCTTGACAAGTCATTCAGGGGTTCTAAAACCTCAAGTCTTCTCATCAATGATGTGATCAACACAATATCAATCAAGAAGTCCAACAGGTAGATGTCGAATTGAGTACCTAGGTGGTTCTGGCTAAACTGTCCAAACTTTTATCAAACACAATACGGACAGGTATGTCCATTTTTCCCGCCTTGCAAACTAGATTTCTGATAACATTTACCATCAATCACGTCATACATGCGGAATTGAATAGTTAGCAATTAACCAACGTTGAATGAGTACGAAACCAAAGAACTTGACTTCTTATTCATTATTCAACTCCTCCTTTCCGCGCTAGCTAGAACATGGTGAATGAATAGCTTATTTGATTTAACAAAAGGCATGTTATGCCAGGTGTCTCGTTCCACTAGAATCCACAACAGTTGAAGGGTCAATAACGCTCCCGAAGTCAAAACGCGGATTGATTCAGAAAAATTAACACGATTGGAGGAGGGGGGGGGGGATATATCTAGTAAGCTAAAGCAAAGACAGCGCAATCGAATGCTTAGATGTGTAAATAAGGAACAAGATTTAATAATTTCAAATCCCAAGAGTTTAAATAAAAGAGAAAGAGGACATGAAGGAGGGCGAAATATATAAACAAATAAACAATAAACAAATAAACAAAATGATAAAATCTCCAGAAGAGACTAGTATAAACATCACAACTCGCATGCTTGAGAATAAGGATGGCTAATGATAGAAAAGAGTCAAACTGATAATTGAATGGAAGACAGATGAGAAGAAATGGTAATGAAAAGAAAGGTGGGGGTATTCCATATTCCATCCATAAATAAAAGGAAAGCACAGTGTCCCCATTGTGGTATATATAAAGTGCTTGCATGTGATAAATGGAAATGCTAATAAACTTCTCATAATCAAATTTGAAAGTAGAGGGAAACTTTTGACAAATGAATGGTCATCTGTTCCTTGCGCAGTAGGAGAACGAATGGCGGGGAAATGAGGAAATGGATAAAGGGGGCTCGGGTATACCCAAAACTAAAGAAATAAATGAAACGAAATGAAATAAAAATTAAATTAAAAAAAATAGAAAATAAGAAAATAAGAAAGAAAAAAAAAATCTATATTCCTACCCATGGCTTGTCATGCCTTTTAATAGGTTGGAGCGGGATACTGGCCAGGAAGTTTATATTCACTAATCATCGTTGGTGATGGGTGAACTCTTTCAGAACTGATCTTCATGGCTGATGGGGGGCTACCTCCCGCAGTTGATACAGTTGTTGTCTGGTTTGTGAGGCGGTCCGCATCTCCTAATTCACCACTGAAGTGCGGCACGTTATTGACGGTCGAGGTCGACGTAACTGTAGTCGCATGGGTGGTAGTGCTGGCTTTGTTATCTGCCACAATGTGAGAGGAGATCGTTTCTGTGTTGATATCTCGGAAAACGTTCGATGGGGAATCAACCCCCTTAGGAGAGGCCGTAGAATATGTATCAAGTGTTGGAGGCTGTTGTGAAGGGTTCGGGTGGGGATTCTGCTGGGACGATCCCATCATAGCCGTAGTTGCTGCGGGAGCCATCCACTCTGCATAATTGATATCATCCTTTTCCGTTGAGACAGGATTCCTAGGATCGTTTGGGAAATCATCATGGACTCCGTCGGGCATCCCATCACGAAGATCTTCTGGGTGATGGTTCTTAGTTGGCTCTGCATCAGAGCCAGTGTGTTCTGCCGCATCCCGGTCTCCAACGCTTTCTCTAGATGAGGCATATGGCACATTTGAGTGTCGATTGATTTGGATATCACTTGGAAATCGCCCGCCTGGTTGAGGGCGCTGCCACTGTCCGTCCACTTCTGGTGGTGCCTGGTTTGGAATTACATGGTGAGCGAAATACGGCCTTTCATCAGCTTCGTCTTCATCCATGGCGCCTTCGCTGCTGAGGGATCCCGCCCGGTAGAGCCCACCGTTTTGAGTGCGAGCATGCTTGCGAACAAACGCATTGCGATCCTCTCCAGTTTTCTCGGTCAAATTCTTGATGTCGTTGTACCATGCGAGCATGGTATCATGGGATTCTGCCCGAAATACCCATGCGTGACCCCGATGCATGGGGCCCGTTTGCCGTCCCTTCAACATGAATTTGTGCGATGCGGAACCCCTCTGCGAATGAGAGCCCAATTTTTGTTCAGGCAAATATAATGACATCACAGGATTTTGATACTCGATGCGATCCGCAGATTTGTACTCATGTAAATGGGTGGGTGACAAGACATACCTGTACACGGTTAATAAGTCTGCTTTGATATATAAGCAAAGCATATCTTGTTTTGCACTTACCAGCCAGGGGTATAGCTTTTTAAGTACTTGCTTTTCCGTTCGAGCATGCCTGCACGTACTTCAGCGGCAGCAGGATGGTCCTTTCCGGGATAATTGATATATTGAAAATTCCTAATGGGCAGTTCTGGATCAACTAGATGATCATTGGTGGATATAAAAGCGTTCCACTCATGATCCAGAGGAATACTTAGTGGGCCCTCGTTGAGACGTTCCGCGGCGTCATATGCTATATCTGCGTCGCGCCTTAGGATGTTGGCATACATATTATATGTTTTCTGGATTTCTGCAACGACAATGCATTCAAGTTCACGGCCGGAGCTTTCCAGGTTCAGAAACGCCTAGTAAGGTGAAAGGAGAAGTCAGAGACCATGTCCAGGTAGCAGTGAGTTTTTGAGAGCTAACAAAATACTTACACGATGTAGATAATTCTCTTCGTCAATCTGTTTTGCAAGCTGCTTTTGAACTGCACACCTCACCAGAAAAGGGTCTCCCTTCCCCGAAGTAGCTGCTGGATCGGTATCCACTAGGCCAAGCGCTTCCTGTAAATTCCTGACGGCTTTCCGAGTACCCTCTACCTCCTTGTCGACCGAATTCTTAAAATCGCTCGAGAGTCCTTTGATCTCTTTAACTTTCTGCTGGAGGTCTGATCTGAGGCCAGCCAGTTGCCTGATCACTTCTGATTCGACATCCCTTGCTTTTGCCAGTTCCAGCATTGCCTGTCCGTGATAATCTTTCAATATTTTTGAAGCGTCAGCGATCCCACCTGTCGCGAGAAACGTGGATGGGAAAATAATGTTATTTATCGAATTCGAGGCGGAGAGAAGGGCCTTTGATCTGATTTCGTAGGATTTCTGAATCTCCCGGAAGACCATTATCAAATCTTTCAACACCTTCCGCCACGCTACATCGAAATAGTTAGCCACGCTGCAAGATGGCCTTGAAATATGCAACCAAAATCGATAGGGAAATACTTACCTTGGAATCTCGCAGCTAGCACATCCGTAGGGCTTCCCGAAGTCGGTATGGGAATATAAAACGCACTGTTGACATCATCTCCATCCACCATGCCATACTTCTCTCTCTCGCCGAGGACCATACTCTTCACACTGCCTGCACGACTACTCCTCCGACTTCCACCCCTTCGCAAACTGCCCTTTCTGCTCAACGAAGGTTTTTTCTTCAAAGTACCCGTCTCCCGCGATGGCAAAAGCGAAAGTGCCGCTGACACCTGCGAGTCAGAGCGATGCAGGTCACCACCGTCGCCTGAAGGACGCCCATCGTTGATAAGAGACGATCCACGTCGGCTGGGTGATAAATCTTCATGGAACCGGGACAGCTGTGTTGGTGCCGTCGCTGGCGCTGGAGTTGGTGCAGGAGGTTGGACGGCTCCCCCTACCCCTCCTCCCCCTCCTCCTCCCCCGCGAACCTGAAAATCTGATGCAACGATCGAACCAAGGGCCATGTACGAATTCGGGCGAGAGTCGGCGGCAGCAGAGGCGAAGCCGTTTGGCTGGTTTAAATGGGAAGCCTCGGTAGCGCCGGGAGCCGTGGCGCAAGCATCGTGGGACGGCGTTCGGGATCGGGCGGCCATGGGCGGATATGCTGTGCTCATTAAAAGCCACAGCGGTTATCGGGTTTTGGCGTAAGGTATATAACCACTTCTTTTCTCGAGATTCTCTTCTTTCTTTCCCCTTGCACAAGGGCAACACGGACACACGTCGCTTTGGATAACGCAATTGGAGACACCAGTGGCTGGAGATTGAGTTCACCGAATGAAAGGTAGAGAGGGTTTTGAGCTAAGAGCAGGGAGGAGCGGCAGTCGTTTGTTTTGTCGATTGTGCGATAGGGGTTTGTAGATATGGTTTTACTAGGGTCTTATTTAGGTGTCGTCATGGGTTGTGGGGGTTGTGAGATAGCAAACGATCCAGACGGGGGCGAACTAGCACAGGAAAGGATAACTAACTATTAGCTACCTCCTCGTGAAATGTTGTGGATTTCTTAAGAGACAATATATTCCATCGTGGGAGTTGCAAAAACTGGGAACATAGGAGACAGCAAGAAGGCAACATTTTATCGGGTTGACGGGAGATGACGGACGGTTCTTCGAGCTGAGACCTGGGAGATGACGTCGAGATGGTTGGGTGGCAGACCGGGGAAGCGAGAAGTTCTGTGGAGGTACCAAATGAAGAAATCAATAGGCGAACTTGGCGCTGTGGTGATCGCAAGAGGTACCTTCGAGGTACTTGCGTGGTGGCTGGGCCCTTTTTGTTGTTCCCGATATTGAGAAAGTGAAAATACTAACGTAATCCAAACCACCTGATGGATCAAAAACCCCACCTTATTGACAGAAATTCAAAATAAGCAACAACCATTAGGAATTATATATAGAAATCATACGGGATAACTATGCTGTGAAGCCTGCGAGCACGCCAGGAGCTCTATTGTATCGTGCTACCCCGCATTGACCACAAACATGCCTGGAGATCACCTTTCTAGTCCTTGGATTTGCATCCTCAACCCCCCACCTTAATGAGCTGATCAGGCTTCCGAAGCTCTAGCAAGCCGCCCTAGTTGATGCTTCTTGAGCAGATAGAATCCCTTCTTCAGCTATATATACATTATTTCCCCCCTCTCAGCTTCTGTCTGGCATTGATAGCTCTTAGTTTCATATTCTGTCTTGATAATATAGTAGAATATATATGATTTATGATTTTAACCTAAGCTTAACAATTAAAAGTTTGATAAAATTGAATATATGAATAATTTTATTTATTTATTAATGTATTTTAATTAAATTATATTATAAAAATTTTTTAAAATTTTAAAAATATTAAATTTATTAAAAATAATTTATAATCATTAATTATAAAAATTTTAATATATTATTTAAAGATTTTAATAAACTTAAATTATTTAAAATTATAAAAATAAAAATAAAAATAATTAATATAATTAATATTTATTTTTTTAATTTAATAATAAAATATTAAATTTTAAATTAAATATAAATAAATATAAATTAAATTATTGATTAAATAAATTATTAATTAATTATTAATTAATTTTTATAAAATTAAATAATTAAAATATTAAATTATATAAATTTATTAAATTTATAATTATAAAAAAATTAAAATTTTATAATATAAATAATTATAAAATTATATAATATTTATTATAATAATTAATTTTAAATTTTATATAATAATAATAATACTAATAATAATAATAATATATTTAATTATTAATTATTTATTTTATTAATTAAATAATTAAAAAAATAATTTAAAATATATTATAATAAAATTTTATTTTAAAATAATATAATATTTAAAATAATTTATTATAAAAATAAATTTATATAGATTCATTTTATTAAAATAATAATAATAATAATAATAAATGAATAAAAAATTAATATAAAAATAAAATATAAATATAAAAATATAATATTTGAATTTGATGATTTTCAACGGTGAAGTACTTTTAATGCCTGTCACGTGATATTACAGTTCCCAGCCCCATACCAATTTTTGTTAGGTGGGGCTCTTGAAGGACAAGTTCACGGAGCTAGAAGTAATAACTTACCTAGGAAATGCCAAAGCCTCGCCGTGTGGGAATGGGCCTTTTAATCCAAAGCGAATCGTTGTATTATCATTTCAATGAGCCAAGCTCGGTACAATATAAACCCATTCCGTAATTTCTAGACTTGAGAATAGTGAGAGAGATTCAGGCATAATGACATATTTCCTTTGCTTTTATTCAATTGGGCATGCTGGTATCAAACCTATATATGGAAAGCTTTTATTCCTGTCTAATTAAAAAAATCCCCTCAGGAGGTCGAAGTTGTGACAAAAAGCCGCGGAATTCCCGAGGTCTAATCAATGCGCACCACGCCGAAGCACGAGAAGGGTAGGATGACCATGTACGAAGGTAGTGGTCGCGGTGATGATGAGCTTTAGCTGGAGGTGCAGAAACAGGGGAGAAGGCAAAGTCCCAGCGGACTTGACTACCAATGCCAGGTATACTTTACAATGAAAAAGTGAAAATTGTTGGTGGGAGGAACAAAGATAGCGGTGAAATAAGAAGAAAGAAAACCGGATATACAACTAGAAAATGTATATGAAAGTGTTGTATCAGAATAAGATTTCTTAAGGTCCGGCGGGCTGCGGTGCCGCAGGTACATCAATGCCGTAGTGTTCCTTTATCCGTTGACGCCGTCGTTCCTCATAGTTCACACCGTGGATACCTAGGTTATGTCTTATCAGCAAACTATGCCATTGCGAGAGGGTGCAGACAATCCCGGCGTACCTCTGCCTTCACCAAGCTGGGCAACTGTCTCCTCAATTGGGGATCTATAATTTTTTCTCAGCCGTTCCCGTCTGGCAAATTCATCCTCCTCATTAGCGTGTCCCTTGCCGGCAAGACTTCCTCCGGTATATTCGAATACACTAAGAACAGTGGCAACGGCCACACCGTAGCCAAGAACCGCTGGGAACGTTCGGGCTGCATAGTGTTTATCCTTTGGTCAGCACGTTCAGTTGTGGGAACACTGTTATTGTTGCGGGGATTGAGAGGTGAGGAGCATTAACAAACCGCGCAATCCAATAGCTGCTCCGCCGAAAAATCCTCCCCACGCAGCGTTCCAGTGGTCTTCCTTCTCTCGTAGGTTTGCCGCTGCTGTTCTGGCAAATTCATACGCACCGCCCACAGAGGCTGCAGCACATGACAGCGTTAGCAAAAGTCTTCATCCCACCCACCGGTTACATGAAAGGCTCGAGTCTAATCTATCATATCGTACCGAATAGTGCAATTGTGCCACCTGTTCTCGTGAAGACACCCCAGGGGCCATAGTTTCGTTTTTGCAAGGTGTTTTGTACCGAGGAGGCGAAGAGGCCGACGGCGCCGGAAATCAGCGTCGTCTTGACGGTGGCAGCGATGGCATCTTGTGGATGGTAAACTTCCTCTTGTTTGGTTGACGAGGGCATGATTGCTGCGGCAGGGAAGAGAAACAAGACACCCCCGGAGGCAGCGCTTTGTGTTGAGGGCTAGCAAGACGGTGTGTATGGTATTTGAATCGGTCTGTCCACTTGTCGGGAGCACAGGTTAAAACACTAAGGGTAGAGTGGAGTAGCGGGGCGCGTATCGAATGTTAGAATGGGAGGTTCCTGTGCAGTTGAGGTTCTTGGCAAGGTTCCAGAGTTAAGAGCTTCCTCTGACAGTCAGCAGCATCAAACCATCCCCCCCTGACTTATTTATCCAACAACAACAACAACCTCACCTCTCGTCGCTGCAGCCACCTTTCCCTTCAAGCTCGAGCGGAAGAGTGGAGGATAGACAAGTGCACCGCCTAGCGCGCCTGGCCTTTGTCTTCTTGCATTTACTCTTTTCTCTCATTCGTTTTCCCCTCAATTTTCCGTGCCGTGATCATTCTCTACGTCAAAACCGACCTTCAGTATTTTAGTCACACCCACTTCGACACATCACTTCTTTTATTCTGAAGGATTTCAAACTGCCATCTCCAATCTAGGCATCCGTAGGAACACTCTCTGTTTTATCAGCTGCTGATCCGTTGGGAAGCGTCCATTTTTTTCCCCTCATCTTTGGCCGTTTCTGGTTCCTGGTTCCCTACATGATTCCTCAATGCTAGATGTTCTGGATACATTTGCGGAGCTGCTGACCGTGTCAAATTTTGTTGACACCAACACTTCAGTTCTACAAGCAATCTTCTATCTAGTTCCGTTCATCACTTAGACATCTCCGATGTCACACATGTCTGTTCCGCAGGGTCCTGGTATGGCTGTCGAGCTCCACGTTCTCTCCATATATCATAATTCCCTTTAAGCACAAATGTTGCTAACATGTGTCTCATAACTGTCTGTCCAGGGAAAACCACCCCCCGCTTTATCCAAGATGTCCTCTGTTATGATCCTGCGCATCCTCCTAGCTCCGGCTTCAACCTCTTGACCCAGGTCCCTCCCGCCTTCCAGGATCCCAATGACTATCCGGAACTCATCTCCCCGAACGCCTGCCCCCATAGGTATATCACCAAACATAATCAGACCAAGCTTCCCCCTGAAGGTTTCCAGGCTGGGCTAAGGGCACCTTACAAGATTTCCGCTGTCTGCTTGATATGCCGCTTTCATTTGGAAATCAAGACATCACATATGACAGAATCGTCCCACTGTCCTAGTCAGCTTCACCATCTTGTTTACTCGCATAGCAATCATCACGATACAAGCCCTTTCCGCAGCAAAGGCCAGCGTCAGGAAACTCACTTCTACCGTTGTTCGTATGCGACATGCGCCGTGATTATCACCCTGAACATACTCTCTCCGGTGCTAGCACCGCGATGGGTGGATCTTTTGATAAATCCGGAGCTGTTAAAAGCTAGGACCGACGAGGCCTTGAATGCATATCCCGAGCGACTAGAGGGTCATATTCGACCATTTCCCATTACCGTGCTGTCAAACCTTCGCGCATACATAGAAAATGCCTTACATGAACCCCAGAGAAGCAAGCCGATATGCCTAAACAATAAACGCTTTGTTGTTTGCTTTGGCGTCGATGGCCGACCGTGCCGGGAGCTGTTGGAATTTCTTGAATTTACTCCGGGGGTATGTAAATCTTAGTTTCACCTTTTGCATTTGATATAGCGAAAGCAAGGATCTTGTGTTTTTGACACTTTTGACCGGCTCATAGGAAGATTCCTGGAAGCCTCCATCCCCTGATACAACCGCGCCAATACCGTACGAGAAGGCTCTGAATGTATTTCTTGACAATGTGTCAAATGAACTCCTCGTTCTCATCCACCAAAGACCAGAGCATGAGAAAGAGGGTCAATCACGAGAACCCAAATTCGATCCTGCCTTGAAGAAATTAAGTCAGCTCCTTGGTTCATCAACTTGTTAGTAGTTCCTCTGGCATCCTCGTAGGGGACAATAAACTTACTTTTAGTAGACGACAGGGTATACTCTAACTCGTCGGAAAATCAGGACAGGGGAAGATTTCCGTAAGTTTCTTTTTTTTCTTTTTCTTATTCCTACCCCCCTCGATGTTGGATCTGTAAGTGTTGTATCCATTGTTTCTTCTAACTAGATTTCAGATATTATGAGGATCTCGGGGTGACGGAGGATATGTCTGCTGATCTCATCATTGAGGCATATAATCGACAGATCGAAACTGATCCACGACGGGCTCCTTATTATCTCCGATGTCTACGATCTATAGGGGAATGGAGACGTAATTCAGACGGCGCAAAAATTGACCATCTTGTCACATTGGAGTGCAGTGGCTATCGATACGCTGACGACGATATACCACGCGCATATAACTATTTTCAACTAGATTATCGCAATCGAAACCTGACTGATGATGATATTATCGGATCTTTCTTTGCTCTTCTTCGTGATACCCCGAACGACACGGAACCAAGGCAGCAGCTCTGGAGAATAGGTGACAGTCGAGGCAGTGAGAAGATCAAATCAGTGGCAGAAGAGCGTAAGTTTCATGCCCTCAGAGAGACAGATATTCCAGCTAAGCTCTTCGTAGGTATATCCACCGTGGAGCAAGCGCTAGTATACCTTGGTGCAGAGGAGAAAACCTCTGATGATTTCATTGTTTCTATGTACGCTGCAAAGGTATGTACATGCAAACTCTACTGTTCAATACTATATAGCTACTTATAATACTTACTCGAAAATCAGGTTAACGACCAACCAGCGAGTAAAGAGCTCGCGCGGAAGGCTGTTTCTTTGATCGCCGAGGCACGCAAATCCGACTCCCTCAAATACTTCCTCAATACTGGCGAAACAGTAACAGCGGAAATGGATGTAGGCGAGGCGTTTCGACTCTTGCAAATCCCCGATCGGACTGTCGATGATGCTGCGATTCTTGCTGCATTTTCTGTATGTTGCTCAGAGGCTCCCGGTCAAATCGACGCGTATAGAAAAGCCCTGGATGTCATTGCCAAAGAGAAAGGAAGTGCAATGATAAGCAGCACTCTAGCACAAGACGCGGCACAAGCAAACCGCGATCTCAAAGAATGGCCTGTCGGGCTGCAAAATATTGGAAACACTTGTTATCTCAACAGCTTGCTCCAATTTTACTTCACAGTGACCCCTTTTCGCAAAATGGTGGTTCATTTTGATGATTACAGGATGCCTTTAGATGAGGCCAGTCTCGCGAAGAAGAAGATCGGATCTCGAAAAGTCTCAATTGCAGAAATAAAGCGGTCTCAAAAATGTAGGCATAGATGTTTGCCCTTGTCGGATCGATGATGGCTAACCAAGAGGTAATATTAATAGTTCTCCAGGAGCTTCAATCACTGTTTAAAAAGATGATCTCATCACCTACTTCATCTGTCACGCCTGAGCAGGAACTTGCGCGTTTAACTCTTATTAGCTCTTCAAACGAAGCAGCTATCCGGAGGAAATCCATAATAACCCACGGTCGTCCCAGTCTAAGTGAGATAAATGGCTTGCCCGTTATTGGACCACTAGGACCTCCGAGCGCTACGACAGACTTGCCCAGTGGTGGGACAATGGCTGACCCGAGTAGTAGAGGGCAAGAACCTAATGACGCAGACAGCGATGTAACGCTTGTTTCATTATCTGGACAGCCAGACAATGAGGAATCACGGGCTGACAACAAGGAGAACGTGTCGCGTGGTTCTCAGGATATAATGGTTGAAATGAAAGAAGTAAATGATTCCAAGAATACAGATGTACCGACGGGTGAGTAATGAATCAGTCCAAAAATACAAGATCCAAGTTTACCAGCCCAAACAGCTAAACTGGCCTGAAATATGACAGGTGATTCTTCACGGACTTTCGGACCCATAGCCCCTCCGAGCAGGGCTCCTCCTCCTGTACCCCCTCGACCAGTAGTACCACAAGTTGATCCCCAGCAACAACTCAGAGATGAAGTTGAGCTCTGGGCGCAGCAGGATGTTACAGAAGTTATTAACAACGTTCTATTCCAGACTCAATGTGCTGTCAAACCGATCAGATTCGACAAAGACGGAGAGCAGCTCGACGTAGTTACCGAGTAAGTTCTCTTACCAATCTTTGAATCAATTCCGGCTTTGCCACTAACAAAACAAAAGTTTGTTTTATGGCAAGACCGTTACCTACCTTACTACAGAAAATGGGGTTCGATCCAAAGAAGAGTCTTGGTCAGATATCAAGGTCGATGTTGCCACCGGTTCGAAACACATATATTCAGCAATTGACGGCGCCTTCGATATGCAGAAGGTTGAGGTTGATGGCGCTGAGGTGGAGCAATACGGAACCATCAGCAGGGTGCCTCCAGTTCTGCAAATACAAGTCCAGCGCGTCCAGTTTGATCAAGTCAAGAAGACTTCGTTTAAGTCGACTCATCACCTGGAGTTGAAAGAAATGATATTCCTAGACAGGTATATGGATAGTAATAAACACCACATAGATGACAGACGCCGTGAATGCTGGCGGTGGAAGGAGGAACTTCGAAAGCTAAGAGCGCGCAAAGATGAACTTTTATATAATGAGGTATTCCCTTTCAAAATTCCCAGAGAGCTCGCAGTTTATCAGGCTAACCGCCTCGTTATGTGTGTAGAGTTGGGAATGTTTGCCTGATGTGTTCAAGGATGCAAAAGCCCACGTTCAAAACCTGATTGCTATGAAAGATGACCCCGAGACCGCAGGAGAGGCAATGGAGATCGATGACGGAGTTTTATCACGTCTTTCGGCAGTGGAAGAGATGACAAGGGATGAAATCAAATGCAAGTTAGCCCTGTTACTTGTTCTACAGCCCTTTTAAGTGGCCACTACCTAATCCCCCAAGACAAAAATAGGCATCGAAGATCGCGAGCGAGGTTTACTTGCATTGATAGAAAGTCAATTCGCCGATCTTCGTCATCTCGCCTACAGCCTGTATGCTGTCTTCGTACATCACGGCTCTGTTGAATTTGGCCATTACTACATCTACATATTTGACTTTGACAAGAACT